GTGATAGAGGTACTCACATCCTGTTCTTGATTTTCAAGTATTTGTTTCCCAAGTGATGTTTCCTGTATATGTTTTATAGATACTATGTATTGGATTTAGGAAGTTTCCTTCCATTTACAGTTTAAGTATTTTTTCATGAATTGAGTTTTTAACTTTAACAAAGGTTAATTTTTAGCTTGAAATTTCCCAGACCTTGCAGGTAGTATGATTTAAATCCCAATTCACAGGTAACTAGACCTGTTGTTATATGTTCTTGGGGTGATTGCCAGCACCAGCCTCAAATCCAGGAGAAGACAGATTAGCTCCCTCAACACCCGTGGCCAGTGAGCAAAGTTTTGTAGTTCACACTTGCACGGAGGGTCCAACCCTTCAAGGATCTTGCTTTTGCAGTTGTATCAAGAACCACGCCCCTCCTCACATAGGCCCACTGTGTCATCTGCTGTCCCAAATGGCCACTATAACTTAAGCCCTTTGGGATTTGAGGCAGGCAAAGACCCTATAGTATCAGCCAGATTCTTCTGGTTCTCAGTTACTGTTCGTTTGAGGCCCTCGTAATTTTCCTTACTTTCTTATTTAAAAGTAGTATTTCATATGTTTTAGCACCTATGCCCAACTATTTTCTTGTGAGAGGGTTTTTAGGCTATCCAATCTATTATGATTACAGAAACAGAGTCCTTTGAAGGTCTTTAATACACTTGGCATCATATAGGCCACTTTATACTCTGCAAAAAGTTTCAGAAAACTGGTGTGCATCAAAGACAAATAGTGGGTTCAAGAGTAAGTGGGTAATCAATATCAAAACTCACTGCAAAGCTACAATAAGCAAATCTGGTACTAGCATAAGGATAGACCATATAGATCAATGGAACAAAATGAGAGCCCAAAAATAAACTTCTACATTTATGGTCAACTAATTTTTGACAAGGGTGCCAAGATAATTCAATGGGTGGAAAGAACCACCTTTTTAGCAAACAATGTTGGGACAACTGGATATCCATATGCAAAAGAATGAAGTTGACCCTTACCTCACACCATACATAATTTCAAAAAGAATCACAGACTTAAATATGAACTAAAACTATAAAACTCTTAGAAGAAAACACAAGTGTACATTTTTGTGACCTTGGATTAGGCAATGGATTCTTAGTTTGATACTTAAAGCACAAGCAACCAAAGAAAAAATAGAAAATTACAATCTATCAAAATTAAAACCTTTCATGCATCAAAGGATACTATAAAGAGAGTGAAAATACAACTGATGGGAGAGAAAACTTGCAGATCATATATCTGATAGGGAATTAGTGTACAGAATATATAAAGAACTCTTACAAGTCAATAAGCCAAGCTAATTTAAAAATGGGAAAAGGATTTGAATAGATATTTCTCCAAAGAAGATATACAAATGGCCAATAAGCACATGAAAAAATGCTCAATTAGTTATTAAGAAAATGTAAACCAAAACCACAATTAGATACTACTCCATTAGATGGCTATAATCAACAAGCAATAATAGTTTTTGGCAAAGAAGTGGAGAAATTGCTAGTATGAATGTAAATGGGGCAGCTGTTTTAGAAATCAGTTTGGCACAGAGTTATCATGTGACCCAGTAATTCCACTTGTAGGTATATACCAAAGACAACTAGAATATATAGAACATACATCTACACAAAAATCTGTACACCAATGTTCAGGGCAGCATTATTCGTAATAGCCAAAAAGTGGAAACAACCAAACTGTCCATGAAATAATGAATGAACAGATTGCAATACAACCATATACTGAAATATTATTCCACCATAAAAAGGAATGAAGTACTGAGACATGCTATGACATGGATGAACCCTGAAAACATTATGCCACGTAAAAGAAAACACAAAATGCCAAGTGCTGTGTGATTTCATTCATATGAAATGCCCAGAATAGGCAAATCTATAGAGATAGAAAGTAGATCGGTGATTTCTAGGGGCTGGGAGGAGGAAGGAGGGAGGAGGGACTGCTCATGGGTATAGGGTTTATTTTGAGGGTGATGCAAATGTTATGGAACTAATGGTGATGGCTGCACAACCCTGTGAATATACTAAGAACTACTGAACTGCACACCTTAAAAATAGCGAATTTTATGGTATGTGAAGTATAGCTCAATCAAGAACTGTTTGTTACTATAAGTAAAAAAACAAAAAAGCAAGCTATTCTTGCTATGAGTAATAGATCATCCTTCATCTCTGATCCAAGAGTTTTGTCTTCCACCAGCCACCATAAGCTGCTGCAGGCTAATTTGTTGGTTTGCAAGTAGTGTAAAGTCTCACTTCCCAGTTCTTGTGATAATTAGAAATTTCTCTTTACAATGCTACTTCATTAGCTCAAGTCTTTCCTCTCCTACAGGGTTCGTCTGAGTTTCTAGTTAAAAGTACTGTGGGGAAGGCTGCTGCCTTCCTGTGAAGGGGACAAGGACCCCAGGCCCCCTGTCCCATTTATACCGTGAGACAGCATGGGCGATGAAGCCCCAGGTGCTGGGCTGTGAAACAGGGTTTTCAGGAGAGCAGGGCAGGCAGAGCTGCTCAGGACCTTGCTCCCCAGAATCACCTCTTTGACTGAATATAAGTTCATTCATTGGGTCAAAATGAGCTTCATTCTCTGTGCTCCAGTATCATTTTTTTTCTTCTTCTCTTGTTGTCAGCTAAACACCTAACAGGTCCATCTTTTATTATGGTGAGCTGTTTATGTTTCTTATCGATTATGTGGCTTGGTACTTGGAGGCAGCCTGACACAGACTCATGTCTTAAGCTGACGACTCACTAGGTCTGTGCACTGGGCTAAAGAAGTCAACCTCTTGGAGCTGTGGCTGCGTCATCCCTAAGTTGGGGACACCGCCCGCCACCCAGGGGTACCAGAAGAATTTAATAAAACCACACTAATGAAGTACTTACACCATTTCCTGAAGCATGCCTGACAAATAAAATATAAGAGATGTAAAAGGGATAAGGTACAACTTGCCCAGAAGGTTGAGTTTAAGTGACTGGCAAGGGGGCACAGAGACCAGGAAATTTGGGGCACAAAATTTGGCATGAAAAACATTTGGCATGCAGCAGGGGCTCCACAAAGGTTAGTTTCTCTCATCCTTCATCCAAAATGGCCCTGGAATACGAGGACTAGTTTATTTATCCTTTAGCATGCTGAGTCTCAGGTACATTATTTTGCATAATGTGCAAGATAAAAAATGCTCCTCCTGCTCCCAAAACAAAAAAGGCAGGAGATGCCTCAATTCAAGAAGCTAGCTTCAGTGTTTCTTTCACCTACACTTCAAATGCACTTATTACAAATTTTAAATACTTTGATTGTTCTTTAATTACTTTAGAATAATTTTTCTGGTCTCCAGCAAACAGTTAAGATTTCTGAGGTCAAAAATATTGTTTACATCCTATCTCTAAGTACACAGCCAACTGACTGAACTGGTTGATTTCCAAGTGCAGTGGGTGTAGGGTTTTGGCTGAGACCAACTGCTCCCTATGACCACAGGAATGGCAGCTGAACTCTAACAAGGGTCCTTCCTAAAAAGAAGCTGCCTGTACTACAAAGCCACAATAATCAAGACAAGTTGGTACTGGCAAAAGAACAGAGCCACAGACCAGTGGAACAGAA